CGCGGCCGGAAGGACCTGTGCCGCCGGGCCGCGCGCCCGCGGGCGCCGTGCTCCGACCCTGCGGTGGAGACCCCTACCCCCGGCCCGGATCCCTTCTCGCCCGCAGTTCAGCCGTCCGCAGACCTGCGGGTCACTCGGGGACGCCAAGTGCACCTGGGGAGGGGCCGGTGGACTCGTGGTCACCCGGACGAGTGAAGTTACCTGGGAGTCGGGCGCAACCCGAAGGGAACGACCCACATTAGACCCCGGGAGGCGCCCAGAACAGTGGGCCAGGCCAAAGGCAGCGAGCGGAAGCCCAGACTTCCATGCTGGACTGTGCATTGGCCACAGACCAGAGATCTGCGGAACCAGGGACCCAGCAGTTCTTTCCTCAACACTGCATGTGCAATGGGCCGAGAGAGCTTGCTGGTCATCGGCAGAGGGAGTAGCGATCCCAGGGAGGATGCGTGAGGCTCTGGTCCCCACCTCAGAAAGGAGCAGGCGGGGTCCCAGAAATAGCTTCATCCTGTTCCATCCAGATAAGTGTCCCCAACTGGCAAATTAAAAGAAGAGGGTACTGGGCTGAGGATTTAGCTCAGTAGTTTCGCCGCCTGCTGCGCAAGCGCAAGGACCCAAGTTCGATTCCCAGTACCACCCAAAAAAACCCCAAAACAAAAAGAAGAGGGTACTTGGCGAGATTTGAAAGAAAAATGTTTAGTTTTAGCAAGGACAGACCTCTTTGCCAAAACCTGAATTCAAGGAACCAAAAAGGGCACACCTAAAACCTGGCCAAAGTTGACCCATCACAAGTATCACCTTATATGGCTTAGAGACTTGGAGTGCTCCTCTGAAGGGCAAGTGCGAACTAAAATTACAGCGGTCCAAGATGTGTTCGGATAAAGCCAGGGTCAGAACCCCACAGGCTGTTCACCTCCTTGGGTTACCCTGGGATGTGCAGACTCACACGACCATGACCACTACCCTGAGCTGAGCAAGAGCATCCATCAGATACTCCCCCAGACTCCTTCCCTCTCCCAAGAGGTGCCCTGAGGTGCCTTCAGATTTCTGGAGCATCCTCACCTCTCCAGGGTGAGGCTTTCTGCCCTGGGAAGTCAGCCGGACCCAAGCTCCTGGATAAATGCCACTGTAGCCTTTTGATGACTATGCAAACCACTTTAAGTCCAAGGACTTACATATCCCTAGGATTTACCACTAAAAACTAGTTGTTACCGTGAGCGGGATGAATAAATACTCTAAGACCATGTCACAGCGCATACAAAGATTTATTGAGTGCTTATAAGTGAGAGTGAAGACGGCATGGTCCCTGCTCTCCTGGAGCTTACAATTGCATCACTCCAATATCTGACTACATTAAAAACTGCAACAAGTACTTGTCTTTGTCTAACCATCAGCAGCACTATACGAAGCAATTTTTTCACATTATTGGTCATGGTTAGAGTGAATAAATGTGAGTAAAACATAATTATCTTTGAAATCTGCAGTCCCAGTGATGACATGATACGCAATGGCCCGAAAATGCAAATTTATGGCTTGATCCCTCATCTATCTGAGGACCCTGGTGAAATATAGCAAACCAGACAGAAAAAAGACTAACAAAAGTCCTAAGAATACTGGTGTAATTTAATATATTATCAAACCATAGAGCTCTTGGCAGGGCAGGAAATTATTGCTGGCATATTGCATGCAATATAACCAAATTAATCAGACCTGCAAATCTCATAACTATACATGACTCAGGACATCAGTATGATTTACCTTTATGCTTCCTAAAGGGCTCTAGGTATACATTTTTTTTGTATACATTTATTTTTAAGGGTTCTTAAAAGACTTGCAGCTCAAGTAGCACATAAAAATTTAGTGAAAACTGCTATTGAGACATCTAAAAATTAAAAGTGATATTTAACTTTACTACATATACTGGTGCAGGGTTCAGAATTCAAATAGCATTCAGCTGCCGGGGATTTAGCTCAGTGGTTTCGCCGCCTGCTGCGCAAGCACAAAGGACCCAAGTTCAATCCCTGGTACCAAAAAAACAAAACAAAACAAATAGCATTCAGCAAAGTACCTGGTTTTTCTGGGTTAAAAAGGGAACTGCTGGACTGGGGATTTAGCTCAGTGGTTCCGCCACCTGCCTCACTAGCAAAAGGTCCCAAGTTCGATCCCCAGTACCAAAAAAAACAAAAAAAGGGGGTTGCTCTCAGGCTGGTTATCAATCTCCATGTGAATCTTCTAGGGCTCAGTGGGAGGCACAGGAATCACTTTGAGAGGGTCTCTTGTGGAACACAGGAAGGAAAAATTGCTTTAACTACACTGGTGGGGAGACTGTAGAGCACACAGTGGTAGAGCACTTGCCTAACATGCAGAAAGCCCTGGTTCAAAACCAAGCACCACCGAACAAACCTACACTGGCAATAATTTTCAGGACTAGCCTATATTTATATCAACTCCCCAATCACCAGATCAAAGTGTTTTCTAAACTTGACAGTTTATTTTTTAAAATTTTAGTCATAAAAAAACCCCCTCACATTAAAGGCAAATTCTTAAACTCCAAGAAAACCTGTTTTTATGCAAAGTGAGTATCTTAGGTCACATGACAAATGCCAACCCAAGATGGTTTTTAGATCAACTGCGTGGGACACAATCTTTTTCTATTTTTAAAAGAATTCACCATCTCAAAAACCCACTCAACTCATAATGAATCTAAAATCCACTGTTCGTTACATGTTCACTAAGCACCAGGCATTGGCCATCCCTAATCTCCTGTAATGAAAGGGATCTCCTTAGGGCTTGGTCATATTCGAAGCTGAGGAGGGCAGACCTGCCTCAGGGTGTGGCCCAGGTCTATCCTGCCCTAGTCTCCTTTTTCCCAACCCCTAACCGCTGTACCCAGCAGTGACTGACCCAGCTTTAGCCAAAGCTGCTATTGGTTTAGCTGGAGACGCCCTCAGAAGCAGAAGGTTCCTTAACAGGGGAATGGGAGGATGGGAACATCAGAAGAGCACGCCTTCCATTCCTATTCTAAAAGGCACTTCCCAGAAGTGGAAGAGTCACGTAGGTTTTAAGTGCAGTATAGCTCCAGCAGAAAAAGTTTACCTCCCTGGGACAATAGATGCACTTTAAGATTGCCACTTTGGGTTGAGTGTTCCTAAGGTAAGCATTACCAAGGGGGAACATAGCTGTAAGAATGTTCCTTGGTTTCCTTCTGCCAACTATGAAGAATTTTTAAAATTTTTTAATTAAGAAAGTGATAGCTTCAACCTATTACTTCCAAAATCAAAGCCCTCTGAGAGGCACAGATGATGTTTTGATGGCACTTAGTGCCTTTTCTGGAATAAGCCAATTACAGGCTACTAAGAAGATTAACTCCTAGGCAAGATAAAACTATCGTCTCTTCTGAAATGGCAATTTCCTTATTCTCAAGAATGCAGCCAACTTTACAATAAAGTGGAGAACAATGACACAGCCTAACAATCTTCGTTGGCTTTTAATGTCATATACCAGAACATGCGAAAGACAGGAGTATCACCAGTAAGTCAACCGCTTTACTTGGCCTAGATACAAGCTATACACAGCTTGACGAAAATTAACTTCTTATTTACCATAATAGGGAGATTTAAAAAAAGAGGCTAGGGGCCAGGGATTTAGCTCAGTGGTTCTACCACCTGCCTTGCAGGCACAAGGACCCGAGTTCGATCGCTGGTACCAAAAAATAAAAATAAATTTAAAAGAGGCTAGGAAAAAAATCAAGAATAAAGGTACTTGATTCTGTTGACAAGTAATTTTGATTAACTCAGTCTTCAGGTGGTTGCAGAAGATGAGCACAGAGGCTTGGCTGCTCTGTCCCAAGCGGCCCTCCTGGCTGAGAAGCCCTTGAAGCAGAGAAGGGAACAGGGCTGTGGCCCTCAGGCCTGGAGATGAGCTGGGAGAGTTTTGGTGAAAGGTGCTCAAAGATCGTCTGAGACAGTGCTTAAAAGGCAATATTCACACCCTGGTTCACTAGAACTACCTATTACTAAAAGCCACAGAAGGAAAAAAGCTCAAAGAGCAAAACAAAAATTAAAACCTGAGTATTGTCAGTGGGAATGAGTTTTGAAAGTTAAGGCTGTGTCTGTTTAGCAACACATACCAAGCTGGAATATGTGGGCACTGGGCTCTGATTGGCCACCAAAACATGGAAGGAAGGCAAAACAGAGTAGCCTGTATCTAAGCAGCAGCTCCCACACAAACGTGCTACTGCTCCGGGATCAAAGCAGTGCCTCCGGCCCCAGGACAGAGAGGAGATGCTGCTGCTGAGGCCCTGGGCTGCAGCCCTCTACCAAGGCCGTGTGAAAGGCACCGGGCTCTGTGTAAACACATTCCCTGTCTGTTAACCAGCAGAGCAGATCACTCTGGTCCCAAATTGAGGTTTTTTTTGTTTTATTTTTTGTACCAGGGATCAAACTCAGGACCTTGCGCTTCAGAGACAGGCGCAGTGCCACTGAGCTAAACCCCTGGCCCTAACTGAGGTTCTTATAGCACCTACTATGTATTTTTCTTCTTAGCAGGAGTGGAGGAAGTGGATACAGGTGAAATGACTGGCCAACAACTTTGATTGGCAACTGAAGCCATGTGCTTTAAGGAACCCAGAGCTGCTCTGGGTGATGGCCTGCATTCTGTCAAAAGATCCATCCAGCCATCCATTTGCTGTCTAGGGTGGGTACAGTTCCATTTAGAATGATGGGCAGAAAGCTGTAGCTCTCCAATTGCTTGACTTCACATGTAAGACATTAGAGAGTTACATTCCTCTCTTTGTATTCGTTCTTTCCTTACAAAGTTTTTGGGAAATAAAGAGTTATATTTATGTAATTTTCAAAGCTTTTCAATAGTCTAGTATTACTATTTTAATATTCACTCTAAGACTTATGTTTCCAATAAGAATTGCATTTGTTTGGTTTTTTTTGAGACAGAGTCTCACTATGTAGCCCAGGCTGGCCTCAGACTCTCAATCCTCCTGCATGCTAGGCCTGCGCCACTGTACTCAGCCTATATTGTCAGTTTTTAAAAATACCCACACAAGGCCTGGGGATTTAGCTCAGTGGTTCCGCCTCCTGCCTCGCAAGCGTAAAGACCTGAGTTCGATCCCAGGTACCAAAAAAGAAAATACCCACACAACTGAAATCCAATGTATGCTATACTTTTCATATTCAGCATGTATTAGTTTATCATTATGGAAGCTGTCAGCATTTATTTTTTTTAAATCATTTATATTTACAGTGTAGAACAAGTTTATAAAACCGGTGTGCAAAGTTCACTGTAAAAGGATAACACTATTTGTTTAGAAACAAGCTGCCTTCCCTATTTACATTTCCTTATTCTTGATATAAAGTGAAAACATACTATTTAAAAATAATGCTTTTTAAATAGTAAAATACACAATAGATTCCTGAGCATAACAAAAATATCTTGAAAATATGTGGTCATTTGAAGTATAAAATAGCAAGTGTAAGAATAGCATGATTGTAAAACTGTCTTGAGGCTTATAAACAGTACAAAATAAACTGCCTTTTCTGAATGCTTAATTATACATTAGTGCAAACAAAAATGTTCCAAATTTTTTTTTTGGTACTGGGGATTGAACTCTGGACCTTTGTGCTTGTGAGGCAGGCGGTGGAACCACTGAGCTAAATCCCCGGCCCAAAAATGTTCCAAATTTAATGGCCACAAATCTCAAAGATTTGCAGAGGTGCGCAGCACATGAAACTTCTTTAGTGTCATGCGAACTGAACCTAGTTCTCGATTGATCCTTTCCAGACGATCTTCCAAGGCTTCCTAGGTGGAAACAATGGGAAAAGTGTAATGAGAATTCTCCACCAAGTTCATCAGTTCCACAATTATCACCAAATTGACCTTTTTTTTCAATAAAATTATAGTTATTTTGTTTTCTACAGAAATCACGTTTTTTTTTTACAAATCACATTATTTTAAACTGAACAATGTGCATCAGCTTCTCAACCTTTCAAAATAAATGCTACACTTTAAAATATTCTCATTACATGGAAATTCCAGAAATAGCAATATAACCAACTAGAAGGAGATAATTCTTTAATTTTGATGAACTGAGAGCAATACAAGAGTAACTGAGGAGGTGCTTCACATACTTCACCAGACCTATTAGTACTGCAAACTGCTGAAGTGTGTATACATTTTTTTAGTGGAATATATATACATAAAATTTTAAATACTTTTATCAGCATTAACTCAAATGGTATACTGAAATATAACAAAATTATCTTTAACAAAAGAATTATATTTATGCTGGCGTGGTGGGACACTCCTATAATCCCTCAGGAGGCTCAGGAGGCTGAGGCAGGAATACTGCCTCAAGGTTGAGGCCAGTCTGGACAACACAGTGAGTTCAAGACCAGCCTAAACTACATAGTGAGACCCCGTCTCAAACAAACAAATAAATAAATAAATAAATAAGATTATATGTTTATTACAGAATATTTAGCAAATAAATAAGGAAAAAGAAATAGCCACTGTTTCTCTTTCCCGTTCCTATTTTTTTTGCATATAACTCATACCCTTTTAAAAAGAAAGGTAGGGCCGGGGATTTAGCTCAGTGGTTTCGCCGCCTGCTGCACAAGTGCAAGGACCCGAGTTCAATCCCTGGTACCAAACAAATAAAAAGAAAGGTAAAGGGCCGGGGATTTACCTCAGTGGTTCCGCCGCCTGCCTTGCAAGCGCAAAGGCCCGAGTTCGATCCCCAGAACCAAAAAAAAAAAAAAAAAAAAAAGAAAGAAAGGTAAAAACAAGAGTCAAACAGAATCAAGCTAGTATTTCAACATATTGTTCAACTGAACTTTCATGCTATGTTATGAAATTTATTTCTTTTAAATTAATGTACAAAATTCGAGCATACTTAACATGTTTCACCAGGAATCTTTTAGTATAAATTTAGGTTGCTTCTAGTTTTGGTACCAAAACCAAGGTTGTAATAACTTTATTTTTTTGGTACCAGGGATCGAACTCAGGACCTTGTGCTTGCATGGCAGGTACGGTGCCGCTGAGCTACGTCCCCAGCCCCCTGTAATAAATTTTTTTCTTTTTTTTGGTACCAGGGATCGAACTCGGGTCCTTGTACTTTCCCAGCAGGCAGCGAAACCACTGAGCTAAATCCTTGGCCCTGTAATAAATTTCTTAAACACATCTCTTTGGAAGTCTGTAAGTACTGCCTTATGACTCATTCCCAGAAGTCAAAAAGTTTTTCCTAAGTGTGAGGCTCTGAATATACGTCAAGTTGTACTCTGGAAAGTTTGCAACCATTTTGGTTCCATCTACAATAGATGGCACGAGCTTTTCTCCATTATGAGAACTGTTTCTGAAAAAACAGCTGCCAGTGTGATAAGTTTTTATGTGATACATTTGTTTAAATGTGTTCCACACTTACTCTTTTTTGGTACCAGGGAATGAACTTGGGTCCTTGCACTTGGGAGGCAGGCGGCGGAACCACTGAGCTAAATTTCTGGCCCTCCACTCTTACTCTTTGTTTTTTTTTTTGGTACCGGGGTTCGAACTCGTGTCTCTGTGCTTGCGCAGCAGGCAGTGAAACCACTGAGCTAAACCCCCTGGCCCTCCACTCTTACTCTTTAGAGAGGCTGAACACTCTCAATCTTTTCTTGCCTGGCCTGTCTTGCTGTGAACCACACATGCGCTCCCTCGGCTGCGTGGTGCCCTAGTGAGCTGAAGCGGTGCTAACATCCAAGGATGGATCTAATGCCCTTGAAGTCTTTTTGCAAGAGCCAGTGAGAACGTATAACATTCACTATATAAGAGTATATTAAATATTTCCAATTTAGAAGCAGAGTATCAACAAGTTTTCCTCAAAAACCATTTGAAGAGTTTCACGTGCTGAATCTTGCAAATCATAGAATAATAATTTCCAGAACAAAAGCAGTAAAAAGACTTGGTTAGAGTACATGCTCTAGAAAAAGACCTTGGCTATTTCGGGAGGGAGGCTCTTTCTTTCTGGTATTATAGATCAGAATGAAAATGAATTTTAACTGAAATTAAGGTGCTGAAAAGCTATGAGAGATTCATACTTGCTGTTCTATTTAAAACATTACTAGAAAAGATTTTACTTTAGTTGTTTGGGGATTTTTTTGAGACAAGGTCTCACTGTGTAGTCCAGGCTGGCCTAGAACCCACTGTGATCTTCCTGCCTCAGCCTCCCTAGTGCTGGGATTACAGGTATGTGCCACCACTCCTGGTTAGAAGTGAATTTTATTTTATTTATTAATTTTTGGTACTAGGAATCAAACTCGGGACCTTGCGCTTGCGAGGCAGGCGGTGGAACCACTGAGCTAAATGCCCAGCCCTAGAAGTGAATTTTAAATGTCTGATAGTTTCATGAATTTTAACTCTCTTTGAAAAGCAAGTAGAGAAATGCATGTGGGCCATATTCCATACTCAGTAATGGAATCACATCTCTGTCTAGTTCTGTTTCAAGCTCTACAGCCATTACTGTTGCAAAGTGCAGTGTTTCGAATGCTTACTAAACAGATTTAGAAATAAGTGACGGGGTGAGGGGCTGTCAAACAACAACAGGGCCGGGGATTTAGCTCAGTGGCACTGCACCTGCCTTTGCAAGCACAAGGTCCTGAGTTTGATCCCCAGTACCAAAAAAAAAACACCAGCAAACAACAATAACAAGACAACACAAGCATGAATTTAACAATGTACAATCTGGCCTCATGCCTGAAATTCCAGCACTCTGGAAGCTGAGGCAAGAGGACTGCCAGGAGTGAGGCCAGCCTGAGCTGCACAGTGAGTTCAAGGCCAGTCTGGACTGCATAGCAAGACCCTGTCTCAAAAAACAAACAAACAAACAAACAAACCAAAACAAACAATCTGCAATCTGTTCAAAGGTGCACTGCAGACTAGGGTTATGTTGCTCAATGGTGGAGAATTTGCCTAGCATATGCAAAGTCCTGGTTCAATCCCTAGGCATTGCAAAACAAGAAAAAAAAACATAATGCCATTTTCTCCCAAGTTACAATGACACAAACACCATCTTGTTGAAGTCTAAAGGTAAAATCAGTTTTTATTCCTGAAAGCTAGCATACAGTCATGAAATAACTACAACCACCAAACCCTCCCATGAAGGTTCTGACACAGGCAGCTTCAGCTCTGCTTCAATGCAGTGCACCATGACTTTACAGCTCCCCTGGATAAATGGGGCCCTGACCAGCACCAAGCCCCTAAAGCAGACTCAAGCTATGACATTTCACCTGGTTCAGTCTCGTCTGCAGAGTGACTCTTCCTCCGGGAGAAGGCATTCGGCTCAGGGCTGCCTCAATCTGTTAAAACATGCAAAAAGAAATTTAAATACAAATAAAAGAATTCTAACTGCTGGCAGGGAGAGTTATGACATAGATTGGAAAGAAAAGAGTTCAGCTCAGCATTTTCTTGTCCATTCTGGCTCCCCCTAGTTCCCTCTGTCATCTGTTGGCAAAGACAGCGTGGCTTGTGAATTTCTGTTGCAGCTTTGGGCCCCATGGCCCTGTCCTGGGACAGGTTTAACTCAACAACCCTCTTCTAACTACTCTTTAGACATAAGCATAAGTTTAGAAAAAGATTTTTAAAATTTTGTTTGTTTTACCTGGTCTTTTTCTTTTGTAAGTTCATCAAAAAATCGCTCCGTTTCAGCTAGGGTCCTAATTTTTGCTGTATATTCAAAATCATTACCCTGTGGTGGCACTGAAACAGGCTTACACTGCTCATAGCTAACTGATTTATTCTTCTCCAAGGCTGGTCGCATAGAAACGGTCTTCACTCCATTCGGCAAGGGTTCAGGGTGAGAGCTATGACTAGCATAGCTGTTGATGGCCTTTTCTGAAATACTTTTATCTGTCAGAAAGGAAAGAAATTTCTTATCAACTTTCCCACAACTTCACTTTCTGGAAACAGCTATTATATGGCCCAAAAAAGTAATCAAGAGAGATACAATAATCAACTATATTTATTCAGTGCTTTTTCTCCATGGAATTCTAAAAGCTCTGCCTTCAAGTTTGACAACCTTCATAACTTCCCTAAATGACCTTAAGCGAAGTTTATGTAAATATAATTAAACTTTACACAAGTAAACCAAAAGAAAAAAAAACAGTTAAAGACTAAACTCATCACAAGGAGTAGCCATATACCAACACTAAATAGTTACCATTTCTAGGGCCCAGCCAAGTGATTTTGTATACATTATCTTACAACTGTTGTGCCCAGATTTCGAGGTCCCCAAAGACCACCAAGGAGCCGATTCCAATGTAAACACACGAGGGTCATTTATTCAAGCTCGAGCAGGGACTCCCAACCGTCACCGCCACAGCGGGTCAAGATTGAGAGGCCTGACTCCAAATCAGCAGGGGTTTTTATAGTAGTTACAGCAAGGTTCTAGATTGGCAATTAAACCTGATTGGTTGTGTCTTGCGTACCCAAGCTGCAAATGGTTACACCTGGGACATTGAGGTAGCTGTTGCCAGGGGACGGCTGAACACTTATCACAAGCAGGTGGGCAAAGTACATCTTGTGGTTTTAGGTCTTACACAACTTTACTCCAAATTTGATACAAATGAGAAAAAAAAAAAAATTACCCAAAGCCAAAGTTGCTTATAAATTACAGAGTTTAGGGCCGGGACGGGGCGGGGCGGGGCGGGAGGGCCAGCG